TCAAGATCCAATTAGGATATTGACTCAAAACGTATACGAGTTCATGGATAAACCCAAACCATTGATTGGTATTTTCTTAGACCCCACGAAAGCATTCGACAATGTTAAGCACCACATATTGTCAAATACATTGAAATGTATTGAAATAAGGAGCACACCATATGAGAAGTTACCTTTCCAACAAAACACATCTAGTGAAAATATGAAATAAAAGAAGTGGCGAAAAACTAATATTATGTAGTGTGCCCCAAGGAACGGTGTTGGGACCTACAATTTCCAATATTCATCTGAATAACCTCTCCTTGATAAGAACCCATTCAACAATTATCGGTTTTGCAGATGACACTGTATTGTTCTGTGGTGACAATAACCGGTTTGATTTGAAAATGGCACCTGAACAAGACAGGTGCAGAATCGAAACATTGTTTGACTAAAGGCTTCTATCAATCAATTTTGAAAGAAGTTCTCTCTGACCTTACAGTAGCTACGATGTATGCCTACCAAATTTTAAACTTACGGTATCCAAAGAAGCACAGGCGAAACCCTCTGGATTACAGAGACAAGCGGTGTCATCAGTACCACATCATCAGATCTTTCTAGATATACCTTTCTTACTTATCTACCTTTCTAGATCTACTTCTCCACATTTTTTTGGGACTTGTTGTGCACATCGCTAAGTGCACAAATTTATCTATTGTAGAGTGCCTTACACTATTGATAGACACTGGAAGTCACAGCGTTCTACGAATAACCTCTGATATTATGTCTCTTACTGTCAACTACGAACAGAAAAGAAGTTGTAACTGTCGAAGTGATCATACATACGCTTTTTCATCATTATTTCAATGACTTTGGAAAAAATAGAAATTATAGTTATGGGCCTGTGATTGTCCAAGGTTCCGAACAATCAGTCGCGCTCATAATATCCTTTTCGGTGACGATACCGAGAAAAAAGAAGCTACAAAGTACTAGAAATTCTTCGAAATCAATTAAATCATCCATGTCCATCTGAGGTGAAGATTTAATGATGGTATTCGCAATATTAACAAAAAAATTATTGAAATCCTCGGGAGATATGTGGGGTGTTTTTGAAGCAGCCTTTGTTTTGTTACGTTTATAATTTATTATCCGCAAACATGCGAATTTATCTATTTTTAGGAGAGATAATAATTGTCCACAATAAAACCAATCTTCAATTATTTCCAGATCCTTTTCTGCCTGCTTCTTCATCACTGACCATATTTCTTCAGAGTAAACTAAAGCTGTAACTATATTTTCTCAAAAAAAACTTTACAAAGAAAGTAAATCACATAAAGAGACGTTTCTCTGATACGAATGATGAATGGAGTGATTCTAGTTGTTTCCACAGATGATCCTTCTGTTTGTTATTGATCAATCTCCAGATCTGGTCTGCTACCGAAGATTTCGATACCCCTTGTACTGCCAGTTTATTGAGTGGAAAGATGGCCATTATAGATTCTGGTGGATAACTCAAATAGGCATTATGCTTTATATTTCTAATGAATTGATGTGGTTCACCCCCACCAAGCTAGTCCAGGGCCCAATCCATATGTGCTGTAGTGTAACAGAAATTCCTTTCATCTTGTGAATGCCGCATTTCATGAAAAGGATTCGAGTTTCTTGCTGATTCCATGGTTGGCGATTATATATCAGAGTAGTCATCTCCAGTGACGAGTCATCCTGATTTCGTCCAGGTATGGAGACCAGCTCCCCTACCCTTTTGACTAATTATTGGCCTTGAGAGGGGCCAATGGGTACACAACTGATAGATGACGGCATGAAGTCCTTAGACATCAGTGCTGCCCTTCACGGAATACTCCTACCTGGCTGGGGTGGGATGTATGAAAAAGTTATTCATCCTTTAACGGGGGACATGAGGGCCTCATTCGACAGAGTGTCGGGGCCTTCTATATCGGGAGGGGTCGTCTACAGCATANGTAGTTATCTCCACTTCTCACTCTGTTTGAGACTTGTTTTCACTATTTCTTTCCAATATACTGAATTTTCAGTTGGTTTGCACGAGGTAGACAGGTGAAAAGTTCAGAACTATTGTTGATCACGCGAGCTCTATCATATTAACACCAAGGTTACTTGGTATTATCCTAGTTTCGAAAATTAGATATTTCATACGTTGTGCCTCCGGACTATAATTACTGGGCAAGCAATTAGAGCACTGTATAGTTCCGTCGAAGATCGACCATGTAACGGATCCGGGTCCCGGAAGACGTTTAATTAAAGTGTCACTTGGTGCGGTCGAAACCTGCACAGGATGTTCAGCGATCGGGAAGGGATATCCTGACGATCAACTCTGTCGGTGTCAACGTGGAAAGCGTGGAACTTCAGGATGGAACTTGATATTTTTTATGCTATAATTGCAAACAGGAAGAGACCTCACTTCCTGAAAATTAACGTGTAGCTATTTATAAAAGCGGGAGGTTGATGAGGATCGAACTGTTAAGACTCTTTTTGAATAAATCCTGTAGGTGAGTTCAAATCAAAATGGTGTACTACTGTCATTCATAGTGAGTGAATTCTGTGTTATAATTGATAATTTTGGCTAGTTCTTTGTGATATTTCACATATAGTGTAACAGGGGTAATTTTGTGTATGGGTTCTGGGTAATAGTGAAGGTTTATCAGGATGCTTCAGTTTATTTACGGTTGTCGGTAACGACTCCAAAAACTAAAAATTTACTAATTCCAGTAATACATTCATTTTAAAGAACAAAATTATCACTCACCTAACACCAGAAGAAAAACTTCATTTTGCAATATTCAGCAAATAAATTATTTTCCAAAAGGATGTCAGCCGGCATCGAAATTCACAGAATGAGGTTGAAAATAAAAAACGAAAGGTCAAATTAAAGGTAAATAACAAACCTTCGTCGCCAATGCTGAATTGTAAACAATTATTTCTCAGACTGTCAACTAGATCCTTCTAGCGGTACATAGCACAAGATACTTTCCTATGCTGAAATAGTTGCGTCATGGATGAAGGAAAACTCAAAACAGGATATCTTCTGAAATACTCAAAAACATTTTTGATATTCAAGATGTTTCTAATTTGATTTCTTTGTATATTACTTGAAACCAAAAACCTTTCAAACCGGGTACAAAAGTATTAATATTGTTTGAGAAGCCTGTATGCTATACTGGCGTTGCTTTTTATGTCAAATATAAGCCAATTTCATTCAAGTTTTGAAAGTATAAGGTCTCCCAACAGAGTTTTCCAAACTTTGACTATGTATAACGTCCATCTTGTTGAAGCCACATTTGTCAAATCACTTGTCATTTATCCAGTCTTTTTTTTCCAAATCAACGTGAACGAATATAGTACTCAACAGCACAATGTGGTATATAAATTCGAGTCTTCTGGATCAGTAAACGATCGACAAACACCCGTACGTTCACGAAACGCAAGATCTGACGAAAACATTGCTACTTCATGCTGAACAGAACTGCAACTGCGAGTCTTCAAGACGAGGCCATCAGGTTCAGGGTCACCAGGGGCTCCCCTCAAGATGGGGCACTATCTCCCTTTCTGTGGTCGCTCTTGATGTATAGTCTGCTTAACGCCCTTGCCAGCGGTCATGGAGATCCTTTTATATCTACCTCCTCTCCACATTTTTCTGGAGAGAGAGGCTATATTTCTTGTGCACATTGCCAATTGTACAAATCAATTCAATGCAGAATGCAAAAGACTGTTGGTTGACATTGGAAGTCACAGCATTCTAGAAATTGCCTTTGACTTTATGCCTCCAACTTTCAACTACGAACTGCCTTATAAAGTGCTATTCCCGAGTAGAGAGGACTGGATCCTCCGGGAGAAGGAAATATCAAGAGCAGATAGTTGTTGGTTCACAGATGGGTCCAAAACACCTCCCGGTTCTGGTGCGGGTGTTTTCAGTCGCAGACCCAGGACAGAGATATCAACCTGCCTAGGAATCTATGCGATTGTATTTCAAGCGAAAATTTACGCTATTGAATTATTTGCAGAGATTGTAAGGACCCAACTTCATAAACAAGTCAATAAAAATATTCTCGGACAGTCAAGCGGCGTTGGAAGCTCATGGATCCCACCGAGCAACATCTAAATTGGTAGCAAACTGCCAAAAAAGACTCTCCTCGATAGGAAGTTTGAACAGATTGTCTCTGGTCTGGATTCCTGGCCATACTGGCTTGGAAGACAATGAAGCTGCTGACTCTCTTGCAAAGGAGTGTACTGCAAGCAGCTACATCGGACCAGAACCTGTCATTGTCATCGCTTTAGGCTTTGCCAAACAAACATTGAACACCTGGACGTCAAGGACATTCATGGACTTCCGGTAGAATTTTTACCGTGTGACGCTCGATACCAAACAGTTCTTGGACTACAGTAGGGATGAACTACGATGTCTAACAGGCCTTCTGACAGGTCACTGTCATTTGAGTCATATGCAGAGACTCGGACTGTTGGAACGCAGTGTGTGTCGCCTCTGTTTGGATAATGATGAAACAGCAGAGCACATACTTCATGCCTGCCCCGCTGGTGAATCCGGCAGAGCCGTACTTACTCTCACTATCTGACCTGAAAGATCACTCATCATACGAACTAATCGGCTTCGTTGAGAAGCTGGATTTATTTGGTCGAGTGTGAATAGGTGTGAGCCGTAATAAACCCTTGCGGGTTGCGGTGGAGGGGTGAATAGTCCCATTCACTTTGGACTGATTCATGCGCGAGTCATGTTGAATTGGACGTTTCTAATGCGCTCCATCAGGAGAAGCCGTAGCGCACATTCGAACGATGTTACATCCCACATATCAAGGCATCAGGACGTCATTCAAACGAATATACAATTTTGATGATATTTCACACAGACTTTTGTATTATTTAAATTCAAAGATAGAAAGCGCTTAATGAAAGACCCTATATTATTATTATTGGGAAGCGACTCAAAGCTCTGAATGGCGGTTAATAAATGGCGGTTAATAAACAGAAAATAAACAGGAATGAAAATCATTTATTCAAGTTATTGAGTCTGAGACTTTTCGAGTTAGTGAGACAGTTTTATATTTTTGAATCATATCGTCACCGGAAGCTAATTTCGACCTTCACAGGAGACACACCAATTTTTCAAACACACTGAAGTCCTTTCTGATTCCACACTTTTTCTGCCGGACAAGAAAAGTGCACTGCTACTCCTTTGACACATTCGTAAAATTTAGTGCGGTCGAAGGGATTCGCAAAATAAGTTCCATCTGGGACTCCTGTGCAGACAACACCTGTAAACAAAAATTGATGAAATGGAAGTACGATTATTATTCTGAGGACTTATTAAGAAAAAAATATATACATGTTGCAGGTAACTTTTGAGCATTGCACGGTGGTCCATAGATGACCCGAAGAATTTCTGACATAACCTATACAGAACCCACCGTATGACCGATATTTATTCTGACAGTCATCTAGCCTGAAGGATGTGGGACCTGAACGAATAAGCTGCGGAAAGTGAAACGTGCAAAGCAAGCCTTTTCCGAGTTTTTGGATAATGTAGAACACGAGTTTTTTGGATATCGCAGAAGAATCAATGAGGTCTGCATGAGAAATGCTAATGTCAATGGTGCCACGCATCAATGTTAGATGGGGCTGCCAAAGGCGGTCCTATATTGAAGGAAAGTGTTGATGATGACACTAGAATGACATTGGTCCTCAGTCATTTTCCACTGCTATCAAGGTGAGGCCTCAAGTTGAAACTAGAACCCACACTAATTTGAACAAGTTACCTTGAAGCAAAAGGTTCATAGGCAAAGAAAGAGAAGTAATATTGTTTGATGATCTATACCAAAGCTTGTCTCAAAGTCACTTTAATTCCGAGTGTCTGATATTCTAAAATCTTCGGAATGTTAATGGACTAACACTTACCAGAAAACAACCACTCTTCTAGCTAATACCACGAAGGGCGTTGGATTATATTCGACTGGTGTCAGTGCAGGATTCTTCACTGAAGTTATTCCTGCATATGCTTTTGGCGATACAACTACCGAAATCGATTTTCAATCATTGGAACACACTTGCAGACCAATTCCGGGCTGTTTGGCCACTCATCAGTGCATGGTTAGAGCCTATCATCAATATGAAGTCGATGATTTTCAATAGTTGAAAATCGAATTCTTTTCAGAGTATCATTCCTCGAACAAAGCTGGAACAAACGACGAACAACATGTTTGCCATCGCCTCATTATCCCATAAACGAGGTAAACAACCGCATATCCGAATTATGCGGATATGGTTTTTAGTGCCTTTCAGTGCTGGAATTACACCTTTCTATGCAGAAATAGTACATTTCGAAGCTGAAATAGTCTTTTCGAACTGAAATAGTGGCTTTCAATGCTGGAATAGTAAGTTTCAAAGCTGAAATAGTAGCTTTGATTGCTGAAACAGTACATTTCAATGCAAAAATAGAGAAGGCAGCTTTTCAGTACCTTACAATATATCATGAAGCTCTAATTGAATCTGCTTTGGATGCAGTTTTCAGTTTGACTGTCGACCAAAACATCGCAAGAAACTTTTTCGGTTTAGAACATCGAGAAAAAATTGGGAGCTCATCACATACAATGTATCCAACCAGAAAACCGAAACAAGTGTTACTCTAGAACTCCTCAACTAGTTGATTCATTCTGAAGCAGTTCACACCAGAAAAACGACACAAATTTGTGAATAGAGGTTCAATTGGCAACACCATGAACTTTACTTTCGAAAACTATCCACTTCTACACGAAAAACGGAGTATTCGGTGGAAAAACTCCACAAGAAAATGATTTTCAATGTGTTGTTGTAATTTTGATGGATGAATGTATTTGCATGGTTGAAAGTAGATTTGGTGCAAGATGTAGGAGAATTTAATTTACCTGGTACTGGCTTCGGAGTTGTAGTGGGAGATGGAGTGGGAGGCAGATCAGCTACACACTGCAGTCTGCTTTCATCCCATACCTGACCTGCCGGACAAGAAAAAAGCACCGCTACTTCTTTAACACATTCGTAAAATTTAGTGCGATCGAATGGATTTTCGAAATAAGTTCCATCTGGGACTCCTGTACAATCAACACCTGAAAAAAAATCATGTCATGTGTTTTTGTAGCTCTCAGTCTCAAAAAATATTTATTTCACTGTATCGTGGTATACACTGGTCGATAGAAAATTTTATTCTCTATACAGTGATGATTCTACAAATTTTGATTTTTTACCTCTTTTCAGCTTATTATTGTATGATGCCGTTGACCGATTTCCGGCCGATTTTTCCCTATGAATTTAAATTGTACCAAATCGCTGTCAAAACCACCCAAAGTTAATGCACTGTTCGATGTCGGTATGCGAAATTTCATTCCGAAGATTTCAGCCTCAAAGCCTAGGTGGACACTCCATCTTTTCGTCGAAACTTAATTATTGTCCTCCATTTTTTTATTTTATTTTTTTATGTTGGTGAATGGATACGATTGTTATCATTATTCTCTGTTCGACGTTGGTTTGCGTGAAACACCAGAGCACATACTTTATATCTGCCCCACTGGGGACCGAAATCAGGTTCTTAGAGTACGGCTTAGAAACGTAGACCCTTTACGACAACAGGAGTTTTCAGGGTAGTGCTTGGACACCGATCAACAACCCAGGCACTTTCCAAATTCATCAAAAACTCTCTGTAACCGAGCCAAACCACCACATCAGTGTTCCATTGTGAGAAAATCGACAAAATATACCAAAAATTGAGTCAGCAGGCATTGGTCAACAGAAAAGGTTCAATCCTGCTCCAGGACAACGCCCATCCGCACGTTCCATGAACCACAGCACGAAAATTGAATGAAAGGAACGTCAAAGTTCTGTCTCCCCTACCGTACTCTACATACCTTTCGCCAATAGACCACCATCTTTTCAAGCATTCCGATAATTCTCTCAACGGTAGAACCTCCGCCATTCAGGACTACGCAAAACGGCCTCCGTCGGCTTTATCGAAATCCGAGCACCCTCAAGGGACCAATCGGCTTGTGTTACGTTGGCACTGATTTGAATGACATTCATTCCCAATGAATTGAATCAGTATTTACTGAGATATTTCAGTCTGGAGTCGACCCATCAAAAGGGGCAACCTAATAGTAATATCAATTTTACGAGAAGTGATGGGGAATGGATATATATGTTGGGAATATTCCTCAAGCTCTGCACGGGACAAAGTATTTCTTGGGTGGCTCAAGAAAATACTGACATGACCTTTAGGCCGGCCGCAAGTTGAGACGCAGTCCGTGAGGTGACGCAGGGTGAGTCACGTTGAATTTTTGCGAACCATACAAATGATAGGAACCCCGCAAGTTCCGACGCAGGGTGACGTGACGCAGTTTTCGCGGTCCGTGACCCTGGGTTACGCAGTCCTCCTTCCGCAGATTTCTTCAGTGAGTCACGGCGTGTCAAGTGAAATGGAGGAAAAATTAATAGAGGCAGTTAGAAATTGTCGCGTTTTGTACGACACTAGCCATGAGGACTATTTGCCAACAAAATTAATAAGTTCAACATGTTTTGTCAAGATTTTTTTGAGTTATTTGCAAATACATGCAATGTGGAAATACCAAGATTTCCTGGATATGGATATATATTTGAGTAGTTCAAGACGGCATATACTCATTGTCTTCTTGCATGATTATCGATTGATTGGATTGTTTTTCTAATGTCTCACTGTATTAGCAATTCCACCTAAATACATTTCTATAACATGAAATAACAGGGTGGCTGATAGTTCTCGAATCATTATTGATAAAGTAGATCCCTTCTTTTTTTCATTTTGATTTGTGATCAACAAATACAATTATTTTGTTCCATCACAAACCAAAACATGTCTCCTACATGAAAATATATTTTTCTACACATAATTCTGATTCCAATGAGCTACCGCTGATATTTCTAGAAACTGCGAATTTGTAAACTGGGCTATATGATTTACCTGGAGTGGGTGGAATAATTGGGACACACTTCAGTCTCTTCTGATCCCAATACAGCCCTGGTAGACAAGATAAATGTACTGCGTTTCCTTTGACACACTCGTATAATTTAGTACGATCAAAGGGGTCTGCAAAATAAGTCCAATCTGGGACTCCCGTGCAATTGACACCTTAAAATGAGAAATTAGTTATAATATAGTGAATCCCGTAATTCCCAAGTGGGAATTACGGGATTCACTATAGCGCGGCAGATTAGTATACAGGAGGATACCTTGTACCCGGTTAAGTACCTCCACCAAATATGAGCCCCTTATATAAGGCCGCCTGTGAGGGACAAAGGATCAGATTAGTAAAAAAAATTGATCATCAGAAATTCTCGAGCGCGTCAGATTAAGGTAGGGTGAGTTAATTACCTGCTGGAGAGTGTATATTCCACTAATCTGACAATTCGAGAGTGACGCAAAGGAAGGGAAGGGCAGCAAAGGTGTGAAAAAATAACGTCATTCCAAAATTCTCGAGCGTAGGTATTTTTTTTTCATTTTGAAGGAAATAATTCAAGGATAACGAAAAATATATAATCTGACAATTTCCGCAAGCCTAAGTAACAAAAATCCGTCGATAAATTTTAATGCGTGTGATAGCTGTGTGATACCTATATTTCCCTCTCCGAGTTTCTATTTTTCTATTCACTTCTTCTCTATCTATTACTCTCTCACTCCATCCCTACTCTGAATTCTGTTGTCATGACGTTGAGCATTTCAATTAATCAAGTTCAATGAATTAAAAAAAAAATAAAAAAAAAATGTTTATGTCAGATTAAGCGAATCCCTCTAAATAATCGTCAGATTATGAGACAGCTCGTCTGAAACATAAAGATGAACCATATATATCTTAATCTGACGCGCTTGAGTATTTAGAAATGACGAATTTTTCTTGCGTATTATATCGTCATTAAATCGTCAGATTATTGAATGAGAACTTTTTTTTGTTGCACTCAACACAACCTCAGAAAATCTGATGCGCTCGATTACATTTTTTTTCTTTTCACTTTTAACCGTTACGTATAACCACACACATCATGCAAACGATCAGATTAACGTACCAACATTATTAAAAATACGTAGGACATTGATGCTATCAATATCAATTATATAAAATTTTTTTTCTTCTTATCGTCTAAGCTTTGCAACCTAATATGTCTCAATGATGCTCGAGTAAATCCACATTTTGCATCGTGGGCTGCTATTATAATTATAATTTACTAATATCAATCAACAAATGATGCACTGTTTGGAACCTTTGGTGTAGTACAGAATATTACTCGAGTTTTTTTCCCAATATCAGATCATTATTTTCAACACCTCGACACGTGTTTTGATCACCAAGCGATCATCTTCAAGAGAAAGACTAACGGATTAGTGTTGGGATAAAACTACAGTAATATTCATTACTACACCACAGGTTCTAAACAGAGAATCACAAGTAAAAGCATATAATTACCAACCAGGTACTGGACTTGTAGTTGTCGGTTCAGGAGCGGGGGTTGGAGTGGGCGGAGAGGATGGTTGATATGACACACATTGCAGTCTGCTCTCCTCCCATACATATCCTGCCGGACAAGAGAAAAGCACTGGTACTCCTTTGACACATTCATAAAATTTGGAGCGATCGTAGGGGTCTGCGAAATAAGTACCATCTGGAACTCCTCTGCAATCAACACCTGAGAAAAAAATGATTGAATGTGGGTGACATCAATTTTCTGAGAGCTGATGAAGAATAGGAACATGTTGAAAATATTGAACGGAAGCTTTTTTGTGGAGGAAATAGAGTTGATATTCACGTTTCTTTATCTTCCACGAGCTGAAAAAAAAAATTGAAAAAGGGAGATTCCTACTGGTGTAGAAGAAACAAACTTTCCATTTCACTTCGATGAATTGCTGTGTGAAATCAGAATATTTTTCACAAGAAGGATTCTGACTATCATGCTGTGAATAAAATGAAAGGGTTAAATTTTTAGGAATCATTGATTTTTGGGAAAGAAAGTTTCTGGCTTTCTACTACCCCATCTTGGTACAGAAGAGCCCTAAGACAAGTATCTTACGGCGAAACATCGATGTCTACCAGTAAAGATGTCAGAGTTCCATGTAAAGGAAATAATTTCAGCTTTCATTCAGTATACTGTGTAGGAATCCTATGAGTGATATCTGATTCAATTCCATAACGAATTTTTAGAATACAAATTGTGCAGACAAAATTGTTTTCTGTATACTTCAGTGTTCATATAAAAGTATTTGTTTGATTTCTACAGAAAAAAGCATCAACATCAATCAAATCCAGCTACTTGTCCTTCCAGTTACGAGAATCATAGTTAATGCAGTCGACACGACGAGAGCAACAACCATATCTTCAATTTGGGCACTGCGACCGGTACCAAATCGCCACATCAAAGGCGATGTGCCTTCGATAATGTATACTGCAGTAGTAGACGAAAAGTCAGGCATAAAACCGCCAAATTGGTTTGTGGAAGGCGCGTCAAAAAAAATATTGCATTTCTGGAGGTTGGGAAAACTGCTTTTTTCAGATTTATTTCAGGCCAGAAATTCCTGTTTAATCTTTCAGCAATATTCAATTGACCTATTATAGGTCATATGATGCACTGTTTGGAACCTTTGGTGTAGTAAAGAATATTACTGGAGTTTTTTTTCCAACAACAAATCGTTATTTTCAACACCTCGACACGTGTTTCGATCACCAAGTAATCATCTTCAAAGAGGAAGATTAAAACAGTTTGAAAATGCTAATTTGAAAAATTTTAAATTCAATGTATGGTATTGCAATAAAATTGTTCAATCGACCAAAATTATGTCAAGATTATAAAACGTTATTAGCAACTATTTGATGTATTATTTTTTCTCTTCTCTATTATTGTTATGATGATGAATAAGTATGTTTATGATTATTTTCTTTTACTCACTGCATAATTTTTGGAAGCGGTGGAAGATAGCCTTCGGCTTACCCTTTTCCTTTTATGTATAACTGTATTTTTATGCATAATAAACGATATTATTATGATATTATTGTTATTATTATTACTAAGTATATCATTTCAGAAGATCGACAGAAATCAGGGATCTGTTCTTCATCAACAAGTATTTCAGAGCATCGATAACTGAAATTTTTCTGGAACGGTTCACGGCAAAACCATGACAATCGTGTCATTCTGATGATAAATGAAAATATTGGCATAGTTGATATCACTTTTGTTATGTACAGAATGATATAAAACATTCAACTTACCTGGTATCGGCTTTGGAGTTGGTGGAGGAGTTGGTGGTCGAGTTGATGGTTGAGTAGATGGCCGAGTAGGTGGTTGAGTTGGTGGACCTGAAAAAAAATCGAAATTGCACTTTCAATTCAGACTTATCTGAAAGAATGGTACAAAAGTGACTCATCACCGAAAGATTTTATAATTATTATCCAGTTAATGGATACAGTACATACGAAGTCAATTTTAATGGTATAAAAACTAAATAGTTACCGAACGTCAGAAGTTTCTTTGCACAGCATAGGCGGCGTGGTATAGTTTGTTCAGAATTGATTTTATTTTTGGACTGCATAACAACGATTTTGGTTACTTTGGAACAATGACATGTGACATGTTCTAACGGTATTTTTTTCCACTTCTTTGGTACAGGGTATGAATTAATAAGAACAATATTCATAAAAATTATTATGCAATTGTGAAAACTGTATTATTATCATCATGGATACAATTATGAATTCTCACCTATTAACCTGTCAGTGTATCCTGAATAATACAGGATCATAACAAAACTCAAGATTTGATATCTGTATATTCATTTGAAATAATGATATACCCCAAGATATCATCCACAACGTGAAATATTCCATTCGATTTCCATTAACTCACCAGAATATCAGATCTTCCATTCCTTTTTGTCCAAAGAAGATGTAACATATGAATTCATGAAATGATAGAAAATATTTTGCCTAAGAGAATATTCTATTGATATCCCTACATAACATACGTAAAAATTATTCTTATTTGACGAGATTTTCTCACATTTCGGTACGGAAAAAATGTTGACTCAATTCTACATCTATTCTCGTCAATTCATGTTTCAAACAGGGGCATTTTGGTGGTTAACTTTGATATGAAACATAGAAAAATTGGCTGAATATATTCCCAAATTGTAAACTGATACATACCTGCAGTAGAAGTCCAAACGTAAGCTGAAAAATGAAAAAGATTTCAATTAGTAAACACTTTTTTTTGGCCTGCGATATTTTTATTGATGGATTTTCATGATCTCAGACAAATTCAATTTCTCTTTACAAAATTAAAAGTCTTAGCATGAATGATAATTTGAAAATTCTGTACGATAGCCTCAGCTTCAAGGGAACTTTCTAGATTTTGTTGTGAATATTCATCAGTTTGGTTCGATCTATAGAGCTGAATTAGGCAACTATGATTATAACTTTTAATATTCACGATTGTTTTGAGAGTGAAAAAAAAATCAGATTTGTTCACTAGAAAAAATTAAGGGATTTTCTATAAAATCCATAGTTTTACGGTTCTCAGAGAATTTATGGAATTTTCCAACTCCCTAATATTTTCTTCACACTTAGTTGAAATTTTTTTATCACATCTAATTATCCGCAAATTTCAAATGGGTGAGAAACGGAACAAACTTGAATTTCCCGTGTATTCTGCAGAGTTCTTTTTGATCACCACATTTATATTATCTTCATGTTTGTTCATGAACTCACCCTCACTGGTGGAAAAGACCATGGTCGTGGTCAAAAATACAAAGTGTCTCCAAAAACCATTTTATATAAGAATAACGTTAATTGTTATTCTACCGAACAAAACTCATAATTTTTTGAAGGCATGTTAGACCATGTGTTCCAACAATCACAATCACTTGAATTCATAAATAGTTATACTATGAGCTTATGAACGCAAAGTGTATGTTTTCAAAACTTCTTTTGAGATTCTCACATATGATTCTACCATTTATGTATCAAGGGAATTAGGAGGGCCTTAATTACCGATGGCAAAGTTTGCGTCCCGAGGGCCTCTGGCCCGAGGGACAGCAATTGCCTGAGGTTATTAAGGCTCATTAATTCCCGTGGTACATAGATAATTTTATTTCTGACCGATTTCAATAAAATTTTGTTCATTTTTGAAACGGATCTGGACATTGGATCATACAAGAAAGGCATTCATGCAGATACCTCGCAGAGGTTAGTCCTGCAAATGTGTCTTGTTCTCATACATTTTTTCATATCTTCCACTATATTTTACATTTCCAATGACAGTAAATAATATTGTTGACCTATATTTTATCTTAGTCAACCTCTTGACTGATTTATATTGTAATAATGGTTCCAACAATGGGAAGATTGTTTTTCAGAAAATAAAGCGTATCTTGATTGATTAATTGATTGCCAGCCAAAAAGTGTCACAGTAGAATTTTCACTGTTGAACGCTCATGCAACCTTGACACGTGATTCGTCATTCGATAGATTCTTCAAGCAGTAGTGATTTCTGTTTTTTGACAGTTTTGATCAGCATGCTTGAGTTACTACTGATTATACTCGTATACACCATTAATTTCATAGAAATTAGAAAATTCCATAATGAATTGGCCCAAATGAGTTGATGTTCTGTAATTTTTCCCTGTTTGGTAAATAATGATAGGACTTTTGAGAATATACGCTGCTTATTCAAAAATTGGGTTGAATTTAAATTTTTCTCGAAAATATTTATTAATTCATCACCTCCAGTTTGAATATTACTGGAGGTTTTTCTCAACACAAATCCTGTACATACTTATATATCTGTTCAAAATCTGTATATATCTTATATATCAAACGGATAATCAATAAATACATTTTAAAAAAATGTAATATCTCTACCCGTGTTTCGATCACAAAGTGATCATCTTCAAGAAAAAGATCAAGATCAGTTTGATCTTTCTCTTGAAATCATACCGGTTATAATTTGATTTTTACATTAGCTAGAAAAAAAAAGTTTACTTACAGCAATCTACATTCCGCAGAAAGTCGCAAATTTTGAGTTTGATGTTCCAGTAAAGATTTTCGGGACAACTCATCAGTACTTTCTTTCCATCTGAGCATTCGTAGAATTTGGAGCAATCGTAATAGTAAGGCAAGTATGTTGATTCTGATTGGTTGCCCGGTGGTGGACAATCAGGATCTAAAGAGAAGTCATATTCCGACAGTAGGTTCGATGTAGCTGAAAAATGTTTTTTTTTTCATTCACTGAGTAGTGAAATTTCTGAACATGAATCACACATGTCAGAGACGAGGAAACTTGAAAATCATTCTGCCAAGTCGTACAAACCGTACGTAAATGAAGGAAAACACCTTTATAATGATAGTCATATAAAAAATTAAGGATGAAAAATATTGTGAAAGAATATAAAATGAAATTAAATTGAAAAAATGCAGTTGAAGCAATAACTCGGTGATAAAAACTCTTCAAGGTCACAATATCCATTACTCGTTATCTACTATCATCTAAATGTAAAATTTCTGGGAAAGAGAGGTTCTGGCAGGTAGCCAGATGGCATTAATGTTCATTGCTTCTTCTTTTTCTCTGAAATTGTTCCTGTGTTTATGAATTCTTATCGATTCTCTATATACTTTTGGATAGTCATTTTGAGCATATTCGGCTACAGTTGATTTGTCGGTTTGTCCAAGTCGACAATTCGTCTTGTGTTCATAGAGACGGGTACCCATACCTTCCTGCCTATAATTTATTCCGAAGAGAAGAAAAGAAGTAATACTCGATAAAACTCAAAATAACTATCCAAGAATATACAGAGGGGCCATAGAAATAAATGAAACAGGAAAAATTTCAATAGAAAAAAAAGAGGCAATGAACATTGACAAAATCTGGCTACCTGTTCTCAATGGTATACATTTCGGACACTCTAGCTCATAAACCCTAGATTTATCCATCTTGTCAACTTTATCATTGGCACTTCCACATTGTTTTTTTTTAATAATCCGTGATTGGAAGTGGCATTCAGTCTCCGTCCATCAATTTAATACATATTTTGGCTTCCACTCCCAAAAAAATACTGAAAATGCAAAAAATGATTGAGAATGAATGAGATATTTGAATAAATAAAAATGTCTGGATATTTATATTCAGACGAGTCAATTGAAACAAAAATTTTCAAAAATTTTCTTGATTCGTTGATTTCGATTTTTTCTCTCGTAAATTCAAACCTGCTAACACATTTTTGGATAATAGAAGTATGAAGCTTTGATATCAAATCAAAATGTACTTTATTGTCGACGATGAAATATCATTGACAAAGTGTCGAAAGCTTTTGAAAGATCGCAAAAGACTGCCCCTGCTATTTCACAGTTAATTAATATGAGATGATGTGTTTCTTCAGGTTTCTACAAATTATTTTATTTCGAAATGTTTGAAAGATTCAATTTGAAGTGTGAATGAACAATTGTGTATCGAAAAATAACTCACCAATATCGACTACGCCGAAGACACAGACAGCGAAGATAATATCTGTGGAAAAAAATCATGTGATCAATTGGAAATATGGAAATATCATTCCCTACTCACATTTCATGTTTCTGGATTGCTCTACCTGCTTACTGCCAGTAACGGTGTCGAACTCACATTTATATATTTATGTACACAATATGTTTTTCAATTGTTATTCATCTTACACAAGACGCTCGATAATCTTCATGAACATTGATCGAAGTCAATAGATCTCGTAACTTATTCCGATTGTTACGTAACTTATTTTCAGTTAGGAAATTTTGTTCACAGTCAAGTGATTCTATTCATGATCGATATTTTCAGGTAGATTATCAGTAAAATCTATTGGTATTCAAGAAATACTTCATTCTGAAATGTCTGTAAAACACGTGTTTTACCATACATTGGCTTCTTTAGACGTGTCTTCATACGCCTGTGACTGGTCTGAAGAAGCTATTGTGAAGCGAAACATGTGTTGCGTTTTTGTAAAACTGTTCATTGAAATTCTCAAAATGAAGCGTTATGGTTTTTCATTAAGTTTCAGCTACTCACATCACAAGTCTATTGCTTTCCAAAAATCTTCACTAGAGAGGTTTCATATACAAAATTTGGGTAAAAGTTCCACAAAACATTTCATCATATCACAAAGAAGTTAGCGATTTGCTGATTTCTTCGGAATATAAGAAATCCTCCACAATATTCTTCTCCTACAGATCTACAGAAAAGTCTGCGATTTTATATGACTATCTGCTAAGGATAGCTCAGCTCATTGAACAAATCAATGTTCGCACAATGGTGGTAATTGGGAAGTTACTCTAACATTTGATAACTAAAACAAAAAAGGATTTTTTTCAGAACAAAATGGAGAATTCTGACAACCCTTCAAGATCTGATTGACAACTATTGTCAGAACTATCTAATAAATCAAAGGCTATCAAATCAGATATAAATATAAACGATAATAACACCATTGTTGATAATTTTAAAGACGTGGTAGAACCCTTCATTAAATGCTATACAAATGGGCCTAAAAAAAGATACTGTGACAATCATTTTCTGCGTAACGTTACATCACTTCTAAATTCTCGTTTTCTCATGCCATATCAGGACCTAGAACTATTTCAGTTAGTTGAATCAAAATTAAAAATAAATTTCCTTCGGGATCGGATGAGGTACCTACAATTCTATTGAAAATGTGCCTATCAGAACTTACTGTACCACTTGCTGAAATATGGTGAAATAACGCCTGTATATGAGGCCCTTTTGGAATAGCTTGTGACCTTAACTGGGCAAATGACTGTATCAATCACGACATTTTACTGGAAAAGCTATATTAGCATATGTAGCAATAAGTAGCAATCAACAATCATTTCTCACAGCAAACTGAAACAGATATTGGTGTCTCTCAGGGGTCTATATTGGGGCCAATTCTGTTCCTGTTCTATATTGATGATTTGGATGAACTTTATGTACCTGTAACCTTCACAATGTATGCTGATGATACGATAGCGATAGCCAAAGGTGATGGAACATCATCACAGAGACACTTCACGTACTTAGGACATTATAATATGTTCTTTCGGGTTTGAATGCTGTCGTAGCTTAGAACTGCATCCTAACGGTTCACCAGCATGAGTGGCTGGCTTATCCTGTAGTTTATTCATCATAATGATTCACCGATTTTCATCATGTCATCGGAAGATGAATAAAACATCTTAAGAATTCAGCCACTCGTGCTGGCGACACCTAAGAATGCAGTTTCAAACTACGACAGTCTTCAAACTCGAATGAACATAGTAGAACTGAATATCCCGCGAAAGCCTCAACCAGTTCATCACTCATAATATAACTCAAAAAATCCGAGGATCTCACTTAAACCCACTAAATCGGCTCATTCAAGAACATTCCACACCAAGAATGGAAATATTCAAATTGATATAAAGAAAAAATATATGAACTTGTGTCCAAAAATGCTTCGTTTCGGAGATACGGGGTGTTGAAATTGAATTTTTTTTTGCTTTTTGAAAATAACTCTTGCAAAAAATAAGTTATTTGCACGAAATTCGGTACCCGGGTTTTTTTTACGTGGGAAATCATAATTTCGTATTAATTTTCGTGTGACAGCTAGAGGGGGTTGCGTACGCTGTCATTATTTATTTCAAATTGCCTAACTTATTTGACTGTGAACTTTTGGTACTTTTCATAAAAAAACCTAATTCCCACACCTTTTCCAAGTAAAGAAGGTACACCTCCTCAACAACGCTGGAGGTGATCGTTTCCGAGATGATTAGGGTGCTAAGTGAAGTTGATGAGAACATTACAAAACTTTTTTCTATGAAATGTTAAACGAAGAATGATTCGTTTTCGAAATACACATTGTTGAAATTTTTCAAAACATGATAGGTTTTTGTCACAAGGTTTTTGCAATTTCAGTTATTTTCATCAAACTTTATACGCAGTATACCCGTACAGACTTCTTTCAAACTGAGCATTATCGAACTGCTTATTCGATCCAAATTATAAAAATTTTTCAGGTTCAATTATTCGATTAGAAAGTGCTACATTTCGGAGTTTGTAAAAAAAACAATTCGGAGAAGTACTATGCTCGTTATTAGGAAAATAAACATATGAAAATCGAACGAAACAACNCCTGAAGTGTATATAGATTATAACAACAAAAAGCCACATTTTCTGCTGCAAAATTGTCCATATCCAATCCTTCTAGAGGAAATTCGATGACATTCAATTTGTCTCTGTAAATCTTTTTGTCAAAGAAAATATTTTAAAATAAATAACTAAAATACGGAGAAACTTTTGGATGTGATGAGTATGTTAAAATAATGTGTTATTCTCAATAATTCTCCGAATTTTTTGAAGGCGACACAAACATTATCATTCATCTCAATCAAGTCATCTGAATTTGATTCAAAATTTATTTCATTATCTCATCAATTCAATGTGATCATTATTCGAACAAAAGTTGCTTGCTCTGATAAATTTGATGGAATGGTGATGTCTATAATTATATGGAAAAACAAGTGGAGTATTTCCAATTTCCAATTTGTCATTGATGCTGCGTTATTTTTATGATAGATATATAAATCCCTGAAACAACTAAAAAAGAAGAATTGAAAATGAATAGCTGAAAATAACAATTATATTAACCAAAATAAACCTGAATCGAAATAATAGTGAAATAAAATACAAGTGAGAATAGAACAATTGAATAAATCAAAATGAAGAATCGAAAAAGAAAATAAAAATAAAAAGTGGAGAGATTCCAAGTCACGGGAGTTTGCCATTTTTCGTTTGATGATAGGTTTTGCTTAATATAATTGTTATTTCCAGCTATTCATTTTTAATTCTTATTTTTAAGTTGTTTTAGGGATTTCAAATCATTTTTTATATTAGACAATGGAAGTTTGAACTAGTGAAAATCTACATGTAACTCCAACGCTATAGGCAGCGCACACCAAAACAGTCCTCAGGGAGCAAGAATTATTCCCAGTTTCCTAATGATTATCGTTATATTATGACCAGAATTACACAAAACCTCCGTAAGTTGTAGCCTATATGTTATTCTTGTTATTCTGATGTATAAACTGTATTTATGTAAAGTTTCATCTGAATCCGTTCAATCGTTTAGGCGTGGAAGGGTCACAAACATTCAAACATATATTTATCTAGCCTTACAAACTTTCACATTTATAATATTGGTATAGAGGTATAGATTTTTTGACTTCTGGTTTCAATGGTGTATCTTAGGTTCGAAATAGGGAATAGGTAATAGAAGGACTATTTGAGGTTGATAGTTTTTTATTCGTGACTCACTTATATATTCTCAATTAGTATTCACTTATTGTGAATCCATTGGATTTTTTCAGGTGGCAATGCAACTTCTTAAGCACACTTCACTGTCGGATCAACCCATCGTTTTCCTTCAGGACAAGTGAAATGAATTGCAGAACCTTTGCTGCATTCATAAAATTTAGTGGAATCGAAGGGGTCTGCAAAGTAAGTTCCATCTTGTACCCCTGTGCAGTCGATAACTGAAAAACATAAATGAATTGATTGAATAATGTTAATATCAATACTATGAGAATTAAACAGGGACAAAAACTTATTGTAGCGAGCGACTGTTTCTCACCACTACTTATTCACATTCCCTCGTAACTTGAACAGATACCCATGGAATGGGTTTGAAGGGAGGGTCAGATTTTCCTACGTCGCATGAGATATAGTAGTGATAATACCAGGGTGGTCCCAAAAGTATCCGAGCTGACCTAGAGATAGCGCTAGTTGTTTGAAAAATATCACGGTAGTAGAAGGTACACTACTGTATTAGTAGCCCAGAGCGATCTGGATGCATTGAAAATTGTAGCCAAAAATACTCTGGAACATGTGCTGAAGTGGTCGAAAAACAATAATCTGAATTTAAATACATCAAAGACTAATGCTATGTTAATTACTCTACGTGAGCAGAAACTGAACTGCAGACTTTTTGATGGTACCCCCAGTGAAATAGAAATGTCAACATCGGTTGAAATGCCAAGCAGCGTCCGATCTAGAGAGGGGCAAACCGAGCAATTGTCCGGGGCGGCAAAAATAGGTTAAAATTATACCATCTACGGAATAACGCATGGGTAAAAAGCGGCGAATATTATTTTGCTCAGTTGTCGATGATATTGTCAGTAATAGGAACAAACCAAAGATTATTCTTTATCAATTCGACTTGGTAAAGTTACTTTCTGCTGGATAATGTTGAATTTGTTGAATTTGAGAGCAGTTCATGACATTGATGAAGAAGGTTATTTTGAGAGGGGATTAGGTGTTTTCATCCCCTTAGAAAATTGCAGGTATACTTTAAGATACTCTCTGGTATACATCTTGAAAATATCATGGCCCATTGATGAGTCCAAATGAAACCGTAGCAACTACGATAATCTGGAACATCGAAGAAGGTTGGGAGAAGTTCATTAACATTTTCTGCAACTCGATAGTTCACAACATCAGAAAATATTCACATATAAGGAAGTACACAATGGTCCATGTGATGTATGTTCGACTTGCTACATCACGAAGTTAAGGACTATTCACATACAAAATGAATTTCCCCTGAACTTAACCTCATGAGAGCCTTATTCTCAATTTATATAATGCTAGCGTGTTTCAACCGAGTTGAATGTATGTGTAATGTGAACAAGTATATAATTTTTTTCATTTCCATGATATACTTTTGTAGAAATCAGTGATGGTATGACTAATATAATAAAATGTTTACCTGGGCCTGGTCCTGATGTGGTGTATGGTCGTCCTGGAAAAGTAAATTTACATGATATTTCAATCAAGACTTTCGAAATATACATGGCAGACGTAAATAGTTTTTTCCACATTGCTTACTTTTGAACGAAACCAGATATCAAGGTTGGACAAAATTCACGTAAAAATTAATCAATTTTAGTGACAATACTGTTACATTACTCGTCGTCAAGAGGGTGCTACTGATGTTTTTATTGAAAAAAAAGTAATTGATGCTTTCTTCATCACATATTCGAATTCTCTATATGATACTTTCCTGATTTCGAAAATCAGCTCAGTCAATCCTGAGTAATAAGCAGTTCCATATCTGTTTTAGGAATCTGCAAACGAACAAAAATATCATTATTCTTCCTCAAATCTGAGTTTTGGAGTGAACTGCTGTCATGTAACATACATCTGAGGTTTCACAAATCGCCTCAAGATATCTGAAAGTGACTCAGCAGGTCATTCTGAAGAAGAGCACATCTGCCTATCCACTGGTTCAGATAATTGTCATCTAGCTAGTTTCAACCAGTCTCTTCTCGCTGAACCGTGTCATCGATCGAAAACTCATTTGGGTCTGTCAATTATCCAAACGGGTAGACAAACAGACCTGGTCCCTGAGAAGAGCCCACTAGATTACCTGATTTGACACCTTCAAGTTTTTTTGAGGAGATACATGAATCTGAAGTGTATGGTACATAAAAACAGTTCATTTTCAGAATTCGTTGATGGAAAAAGAGGTGCCTACATCGAAATTTCCCACAGAAAATTCTATAATGTAGAAAATGAACTTGTATACAGAGGAAGTATTGTTGGAGAGCGGTAAGTGCTATTTTGGAATGAATGAATGAGTTTTGAGTATATTTCCTTCGGAAAGTATGACATTTATGGTTTGTTCGCAGATTCCTGAAAGGAACAGAGAACTGTTACTCAATCATGAACGCTTTATTCGATTTCCACAGATGGATAAAAAACTAAAATGCATGTCTTATGAGGGAGGGACGTTTCCTGCTTGTTGAAAAATTGCCCGCGTTCATCCCATTTCCAGAAAGGACAAGAAAAATCTTCCAAATAGATGTAGACCAGCTGCTTTGCTATCAGTGATATGAAAAGTCATGAAGAAAGTCGTTAACCTACCATATCCTTAATTATTTGGAAGGTTTCAACATCTTGAGCGATCATCAATATGGCTTTCGGAGACAAAGATCCACAGGCGACATTCTATCGTATGTCATCCGTATTTGGAGTAACGCAATCGAGAAACATGGAGAATCCAGTGCTGTTGCGCTTGATATTCCTATGGCTTTGACGGTGTTAGGCATGAGGGTTTGCTAGACAAACTTCCATGCTATGGCATGTTGGTGTATGGCACTTCAGCTTCCTGAAAAAACGTTCCCTGCAAGTGGCCATCGATGGATATCTCTCGAATACTTTCATCATCAACACTGGTGTTCCCTAAGGATCCATTTCGCCTTCAAACCTTTTTTTATTGTATCTCAACGACTTATTGGGAAAAAATAAGAAACCATTATACTGCTTTGCTGACGACAGCACACTTGTTTCGACATTCCATTTGTATTTCAGGACACCGGCTACAGAGACCAATCTTCACCAGCAGCAGGAGGTTGCATATCCTAATGAGGATTTAGAAGTGATTTCGAATTGGGGTGGGAAACTAACCAGGTTCAATTCAATGCCAATGGATATAATAATGTCAGGTCAGACAATCCCGCTTTCTGCTTCGATAAGTTTGTGGGGGTTGAAATGGACAACAATATGTCTTGGCACAATCATGTAGCTGGAATTGTAAAGACTGCTTCTCAAAAGCCTGTAACACTGTTCCGAACCAGAAAACTGTACACACCTCAGCAACTTTTGATGCTTTATAAAGCTTTGATCAGACCTTCTTTAGAGTATTGTTCTCAAGTATGGAGCTCTGCCCCTAAACATACCCTGAAGTTGCTACAGACGGCTCAAAAACCAAAGAAGGCTCAGGATGTGGAGTGTACTCCAGGTCACTGAGCCTACGGATCAAGTGCGGAATGGGACGAAATACCGGCGTGGTACAAACAGAACTGGCTGGTATCTCAATCGCCACAAAAGAAATAACCAAGAAAGGAATTTCTGACAAAAACATAACAATCTGCACTGATAGCAGACAAACACTATTAGCCTTGAATAGACAGCGTGTTACCTCAAGGCTAGTACTAGAGTCCCACCAAGATTTAGCCAAAGCCTCGGTAGATGATAACATTATCCTGAAGTGGATTAATGGGCACGACAGGAGTAGAAGTAATCCCATTGCTGACCCTTTAGCTGAGGAAGAGGCTGGACTGAGAATTTCAGGACCCAGTGGCACCCACGGCCTGATGACTTCAACAATTGAAATCCTGAAAACCTGAAAACAACAGGATAGACGATGACCTAGGAGGACAACTCCTCGGGAGGATGCACAATGGGTCACATGTGGCCTAAGTTCAAGTGATTTGGCAAATTTGATTCCACCAAGAGCGGTAGATACATATCAGAAATACGCGTCAGAATGTGGCTGATCATCGTTTTGGGGTTCAAATTAGTACACTTCGAACTTCACCGTTCAAGAACTCTCTTATCTGGAGAACCGCGTGAGAGTGCCTTTAGGATTTTCCTATATAGCCTATCAAAACGAAATGTCACAGGACCTTTCCTTTTCATTCCTCCTTCCCCTCGACGATGAGTGATGCAACATTATTAATTTTTTATCGGAAAGTTCCCCCTCTTCAACGAGCTTTTTTCAAAATTGTTTGAATATTATTATTTTTTGAGTTATAAACGAAAAACTAAATACCATTTTTCCTAAATCTTATTTTGTTAATAACAATTGCAATTTTTCACTTGCACCAAAATCCTTCAAAAACATTTTTCTAGAGGTGATTCCGAATCGAATGAGCTATCGCTCATATTTTTAGGACCTTCATCTCTATTTTCATGTTTTTGAACTTGTTGATTAGACTATTTGAGACTTCCAATGAGTTTGCGTTTTTTGATCCATGAATCATATGTACACGCACATGCAGTTTTATTGTAAAAAATCTTGAGGAAGTGAATAAAAACAGAACAAAAATACGGATTCAGGTAGGGAAAGTCGACAAAGAATGCTATGTTCACTCTGACATCAGAAATTTACAAATCCCTGGATCAAAACCTGCATTATGTATCTTTGTTCACCTATTGAAAGCGATCGATAATGTTTGCCTCCTCGGGAAATTAGAAAACATCGGCATACGGGGCAGAGCATATGAACTGTTCTATTCCTACCTGAATATTCGAAGACAAGCAGTTGGCATTGATGGAAAAAAGTAGTCCAATTACAATTACTTACAGAGTTCCGCAAGGTACGGTCTTGGATCCATACTATTCATACTATTCATTATCTATATAAATAGTTTATTAAAAATGCATTCCGAAGGAAAAATTCTCAGTTTTGCTGAAGGCAAAGCAATCTTTTATAATGCAGAGACATTGCAAGACATCAAAATGAAATCAAAAAGAAACTTCAAAAACATCATGAAATGGCTTAAATATAACAAATTGACCTTGAACGTGGAAAAAACAAAATATCTACCATTCACCTCTTATGCCAACAAACTACAGAACATAGGTCCATTGATTATCAATTAAACTTTCAATTAAAATTTTCATTTTTTTTTTCACCGAAGTGTGCGCTGGTCAGGCCCTATCCCCCGAAGCCCCGATACATTCGGGATACATTATGCGCCAGCATAATCAACTAATGACCACTCCCCACACCGTGGGGTAAGTGATCATTAGGTCCTGAGCAAGCACAGTGAGTCACGAATGACAGCCTTCTCCATATGTGCGGCATCTGTGCGGCATCTGCATCTGTGCAGTAAGGACTTCAATAATCAGAACAACCATCTTGACAGAGTGATCTGGATAGAGTCTGCGGAGTTCAAAGAGAAAATCTTAATCTTTTATCCGTTTTTCCTCCTCTTTTCTGACGATATTCGTCTCGCCAGGAGCTGATAACTCCACGACAAATATCGTTTTGGTCTGGTGGTCGAGAAGGATTACATTAGGCTTATTAGCTTGTATGAGCCTAAGGGTGGGGAACGAATAGTTCCAATAAATTCGGCACTTCTCGTTCCCTACAACGGATTCAGTATCCCCCGGAGCGTAGGGCAACACTGGTGTCTTGTCGATACCGTAAGAGTGCCGTAGATAGTAATAAAGCACTCTTAGGGCCGCGTTATGTCGATGGATATAGGCCGAGACCGCATATGCTGGACATGCTGATAGCAAGTGCATTGGGGTTTCGGGCGCCTCGCGGCAGGCCCTGCACCTTGTGTCTAGAACCTTTATACCCATCACGCGACTGCGGTAGACTAAGGTGTTGAAGACATCATCCTGGTAAGCCATGATGAACCCCTCAGTTTCCGACTTCAGCCCACTCGACCTGAGAAAAGCGAATGTCGTGCGCTTTGATAAGCCAAGGTCTCCAATGTTATTGAAGAAGACTCCATGCATTGGCTTATCCTTGTGTCTCCGCAGAAGTGAGGTAATCTCTGCGGCTTTCATCTGAGCTTTTTGCTGAACAGGTTCCAACTCGGTGATAGAGTTGGAACCTTGGGTCTGCAAAGTAAGTTCCATCTTGTACCCCTGTGCAGTCGATAACTGAAAAACATAAATGAATTGATTGAATAATGTTAATATCAATACTCTGAGAATTAAACAGGGACAAAAACTAATTGTAGCGAGCGACTGTTTCTCACCACTACTTATTCACATTCCCTCGTAACTTGAACAGATACCCATGGAATGGGATTGAAGGGAGGGTGTTGTCTGATCTTCCTACGTCGCATGAGATATAGTAGTGATAATACCAGGGTGGTCCCAGAAGTATCCGGCCTGACCTAGAGATAGCGCTAGTGTTTGAAAAATATCACGGTAGTAGAAGGTACACCAATGTATTAGTAGCCCAGAGCGATCTGAATACTTTGGAAATTGTAGCCAAAAATACTCTGGAACATGTGCTGAAGTGGTTGAAAAACAATAATCTGAATTTAAATACATCAAAGAATAATACTATGTTAACTTCTCTGCGTGAGCAGAAACTGAACTGCAGAATTTTTGATGGTACCCCCAGTGAAATAGAAATGTCAACATCGGTTGAAATGCTAAGCAGCGTCCGATCTAGAGAGGGGCAAACCGAGCAATTGTCCTAGGCGGCAAAAATAGGTTGAAATTATACCATCTACGGAATAACGCATGGGTAAAAAGCAGCGAATATTATTTTGCCCGAAGCGACGAAATAGCTGGATCGGGCGATGATGCTGGGTATAACTTTTGACGCAAACATAATCTGGACCCCACATATTGACAATCTATGCACAAAACTGAGAAAATTGTGCTACGCTTTGAGGTTTATGGCAAATCATTGTAGTGAAGAGATGTTGCTGATCCTGTATCAAGCTAATTTCCACTCCCACCTGAAATATGGCATTTTGAACTGGGGAAATTGCTCCTCTGTAAATATAGTGTTCACTCTACAAAAATATGTCATACGAATATTGGCAACACTAGGCTCTAGAAATTCATGTGGGAGACTGTCTACATGTTTTTAAACAAAGATCTAGCAATATGGCTGAACGTTTAAATAACTATAACACTAGAGGAAAGCAGTTGCTACTACAACGCTACAAACAACTAATGTACCTACATCAGTACGATTTGTTTTTTGATGAAACGCTGCTGAAACTCAATTGTCGATGATATTGCCAGTAACAGGAACAAACCAAAGATTATTCTTTACCAATTCAACTTAGTAAAGTTACTTTCTGCTGAATAATCTCAGATAAGTTGAATTTGAGAGCAGTTCATGACATTGATGAAGAAGGTTATTTTGAGAGGGGATTAGGTGTTTTCATCCCCTTAGAAAATTGCAGGTATACTTTAAGATACTCTCTGATATACATCTTGAAAATATCATGGCCCATTGATGAGTCCAAATGAAACCGTAGCAACTACGATAATCTGGAACATCGAAGAAGGTTGGGAGAAGTTCATTAATATTTTCTGCAACTCGATAGTTCACAACATCAGAAAATATTCACATATAAGGAAGTACACAATGGTCCATATGATGTATGTTCGACTTGCTACATCACGAAGTTAAGGACTATTCACATACAAAATGAATTTCCCCTGAACTTAACCTCATGAGAGCCTCATTCACAATTTATATAATGCTAGCGTGTTTCAACTGAGTTGAATGTATGTGTAATGTGAACAAGTATATAATTTTTTTCATTTCCATGATAAACTTTTGTAGAAATCAGTGATGGTATGACTAATATAATAAAATGTTTACCTGGGCCTGGTCCTGATGTGGTGTATGGTCGTCCTGGAAAAGTAATTTCACATGATATTTCAATCAAGACTTTCGTAAATAGTAAATAGTTTTTTCCACATTGCTTAGTTTTGAACGAAACCAGATATCAAGGTTGGACAAAATTCACGTAAAAATGAATCAATTTTCGTGACAATACTGTTACATTACTCGTCATCAAGAGGGTGCTACTGATGTTTTTATTGAAAAAAAAGTAATTGATGCTTTCTTCATCACATATTCGAATTCTCTATATGATACTTTCCTGATTTCGAAAATCAGCTCAGTCAATCCTGAGTAATAAGCAGTTCCATATCTGTTTTAGGAATCTGCAAACGAACAAAAATATCATTATTCTTCCTCAAATCTGAGTTTTGGAGTGAACTGCTGTCATCTAACATACATCTGAGGTTTCACAAATCGCCTCAAGATATCTGAAAGTGACTCAGCAGGTCATTCTGAAGAAGAGCACATCTGCCTATCCACTGGTTCAGATAATTGTCATCTAGCTAGTTTCAACCAGTCTCTTCTCGCTGAACCGTGTCATCGATTGAAAACTCATTTGGGTCTGTCAATTATCCAAACGGGTAGACAAACAGACCTGGTCCCTGAGAAGAGCCCACTAGATTACCTGATTTGACACCTTCAAATTTTTTTGAGGAGATACATGAATCTGAAGTGTATGGTACATAAAAACAGTTCATTTTCAGAATTCGTTGATGGAAAAAGAGGTGCCTACATCGAAATTTCCCACAGAAAATTCTATAATGTAGAAAATGAACTTGTATACAGAGGAAGTATTGTTGGAGAGCGGTAAGTTGCTATTTTGGAATGAATGAATGAGTTTTGAGTATATTTCCTTCGGAAAGTATGACATTTATGGTGTGTTCGCAGATTCCTGAAAGGAACAGAGAACTGTTACTCAATCATGAACGCTTTATTCGATTTCCACAGATGGATAAAAAACTAAAATGCATGTCTTATAAGGGAGGGACATTTCCTGCTTGTTGAAAAATTGCCCGCGTTCAGCCCATTTCCAGAAAGGACAAGAAAAATCTTCCAAATAGATGTAGACCAGCTGCTTTGCTATCAGTGATATGAAAAGTCATGAAGAAAGTCGTAAACCACCATATCCTCAATTATTTGGAAGGTTTCAACATCTTGAGCGATCATCAATATGGCTTTCGGAGACAAAGATCCACAGGCGACATTCTATCGTATGTCATCCGTATTTGGAGTAACGCAATCGAGAAACATGGAGAATCCAGTGCTGTTGCGCTTGATATTCCTATGGCTTTGACGGTGTTAGGCATGAGGGTTTGCTAGACAAACTTCCATGCTATGGCATGTTGGTGTATGGCACTTCAGCTTCCTGAAAAAACGTTCCCTGCAAGTGGCCATCGATGGATATCTCTCGAATACTTCCATCATCAACACTGGTGTTCCCTAAGGATCCATTTCGCCTTCAAACCTCTTTTCATTGTATCTCAACGACTTATTGGGAAAAAACAAGAAACCATTATACTGCTCTGCTGACGACAGCACACTTGTTTCGACATTCCATTTGTATTTCAGGACACCGGCTACAGAGGCCAATCTTCACCAGCAGCAGGAGGTTGCATATCCTAATGAGGATCTAGAAGTGATTTCAAAATGGGGTGAGAAACTAACCAGGTTCAATTCAATGCCAATGGATATAATAATGTCAGGTCAGACAATCCCGCTTTCTGCTTCGATAAGTTTGTGGGGGTTGAAATGGACAACAATATGTCTTGGCACAATCATGTAGCTGGAATTGTAAAGACTGCTTCTCAAAAGCCTGTAACACTGTTCCGAACCAGAAAACTGTACACACCTCAGCAACTGTTGATGCTTTATAAAACTTTGATCAGACCTTCTTTATAGTATTGTTCTCAAGTATGGAGCTCTGCCCCTAAACATACCCTGAAGTTGCTACAGATGGCTCAAAAACCAAAGAAGGCTCAGGATGTGGAGTGTACTCCAGGTCACTGAGCCTAAGGATCAAGAGCGGAATGGGAAGAAATACCAGCGTGGTCCAAACTGAACTGGCTGGTATCTCAATCGCCACAAAAGAAATAACCAAGAAAGGAATTTCTGGCAAAAACATAACAATCTGCACTGATAGCAGACAAGCACTATCAGCCTTGAACAGACAGCGTGTTACCTCAGGGCTAGTACTAGAGTGCCACCAAGATTTAGCCAAAGCCTCGGTAGATAATAACATTATCCTGAGGTGGGTTGAATGGCTCGACAGGAGTCGCATTGCCGACTCTTTGGCCAAGGAAGCGGCTGGACTAAAAATTTTAGGATCCAGTGGCACCCACGGCCTGATGACTTCGACAATTCGGAACTAGCCAAATGTTACACCCATGCTCAATCCTCAAAGAGATGGGATGCAATCAAAGGATGTAATCTTGCCAGGATCACCTTGGGCGACCCTGGGAAGCTGGCGCCGAAAAAATATCTGGTGATGTCCAGGAAAAATCTACGCCTTACCGTAGGATTTCTGACTGGCCACTGTCAACTGAGGAAACACCTCCATAATATGGGGCTAGTGGACACACTTCTATGCAGGATGTATGAACAGGCAGATGAAACTGTCAGGCATGTCCTATGCGAATGTCCGGAGTTATCGTCAATTAGAGAGTGTTCCTTCGGCGAGTCTTGACCTACACCTACCGATATAAAGGAGATATCTCCCAGCTACCTGTCCACCTTCCTGAAAACGACAGGATAGACGATGACCTAGGAGGACAACTCCTCGGGAGGATGCACAATGGGTCACATGTGGCCTAAGTGCGTGGGCTTACACTCACCCTCCCTACTCTACAGATACAGAGATACACTGAAGTTGCTGTATTCCTTCCAGAAAAGATCAATCCGCCTGATTGAAGACGCGAACATCACGTGCAATCTTGATAGCTTGGAACATCGAAGAAAAGTTGGAGATTTGTCTCTCTTCTATAGATACTTTCACGGAAAGTGTGACTTGACACATTTGATTCCACCAAGAGCGGTAGATACATATAAGAAATACGCGACAGAATGTGGCTGCTCACCGTTTTGAGGTTCGAATTAGTACACTTCGAACTTCACCGTTTAAGAACTCTCTCATCTGGAGAACCGCGTGAGAGCGCCTTTAGGATTTTCCTATAGTGCCTATCAAAACGAAATGGCACAGGACCCTGCCTTTCTATTCCTTCTTCCTCTCGACGATGAGTGATGCAACATTATTTTCAAAATTACAGATATGAAGATCATGAAAGTATTGATGAAATTATACCTGCTTTCTTCCAATGAACAATACACAATAAACAGAAGAAATATGAGCAATTTTTGGTAAAACATTTTTAAATGTTACATAGTGTCTGCACA